CTACTTCTATGACCTACTATCAACTAATCTTAAAGAGATAATAACTCTTAATTTTGGCCAAAAAATGAATTTTCCTGGAGTAAACAACAATTTTCCCATACTTACCAATGGTTTATGAATCCATTTTTACATTCAAAGTTAGTCCCTGTTTTTTTTTTTTTCTTAAAAGTTTGTTTTTTTCACTCAATGCCATCTATGGAGGTCACGTGGTCTAAAGATAAGCTCACATATCAGAATAATAGCTATAACTGCCGTTTTTGTGGTAAAACAGAATATATTATTTTTCTATGAGTTGTTCACAATGTTTTATTGTGAAATATAGATCACATGCGAAGAGTTATTATCCCTTTAAAGTAAAGAACACCAGCATTTTGTCTTTAAACTTAAGGCCAATTCTCAGGTCAAAGTGTTTTAAGTGAGACAGGTGTAACATAAATGGTAGTCCTAGAAATTGACATCCATGGTCCCCATAAGATTAGTACAAGTTAGAGTAAGCTGGAAGCATCCGGGTCAGCATATCAATCAAAATGTCCCTGTGCAAAGTAATGGGAAGCAGATTTCGGTTCCCAGAGAACTGCCATTACAGTCACATGGGTTATTACATAGTGAATAAATGACAATACCACCGTTTAATGTAAATGCAATCTTCTTTACACATTTTTATCACACAAAACAATAACAGCAGTTCCAGCACAAAATGACTGTTGTCTCAAAATACCACATACAGTAGCTATGCATACCTGATGCAATTTTTTAAAATTAAAATCAAAGAATGAGTTATGTGATAAGAGTTAAAAGCGATGTACTAAAATGACAGAGTGCAAGTGGAATAGAACGTGAGGTACTCCCCTCCCCCCCAGAAAAAAAATTAATAAGCCAAAAGAGACAAAATGAATATATTATTTATGTCAACCATATTACAATAAAATTATCCTTATTGATTTATGTGTACAGAGTAAGGCAAGACAAGATTTACCCCAACCCCAGCAATTAGAATCCTGAATCTGCCAGAGTGTAAGCATTAATGAGTACTGAATCTGCTAGCTGTCCTCCAAGTGCAGTTAACCTTCACATCGTCATGCAAGTACAACCTAGGCAGTGGTGTTTGGTTGTGGCGAGGAGCTCTTCAAGATCTAAAACAAATTATGCTCAAAGTCACACGTGTACAAGGAGTATTAGAACTAATTATGCAAAATAAGATATACTGGAAAAACCAATACTTTCACCTTAAACCAATGTACGGCATAACCAATAATGCTGACAAAATTACTTTCTATAAATTGGTATTATGAGTATCTAATTTTGAATCCTTATGGTAAAGGAGATAAATATTGGTGAATTTCACTCATGACTCCAGAAAAAAATAGACATAAAGAACTCAAAAATAAAAAATTTTAGGTGCAAATGTCTGTACTGAGAGTATTATTTATCTATTTGATCACAGGGCTTGGTCCAACTTTCAATCAGTATAGTACTTATTTATTTATCTTAATATATCAGTCACCATATCATGGGAATAGAATTGTACAAAGTGTGACATAAAGATAATATAAAGCATTCAGCATTAAGACCCCATTCCCACAGATTTTAGATCGATCTATCCCTGTGGGAAGTCTTACTAGATTACTGTCAGCTTAGCTGGCTTAAATGTCTGTCCCACCTACTAAAAGCTGTAAGGGGGTAATTAACTATAGTGCGCGCTCGGCTGACAGCTATTAAGCGTGAACCCCCAGTGAGTTTGGTCGATCTAGTTGGATCGATCTAAATCTCTGGGAATGCACTCTTAGACTGGTACTGGTAATCTGTATTTAATTAGTCTATGTCTGAGCAAGTTTCATACCCATACTTACTTGATTAAATCAGCTAAGTGACTGGCCCTGTTTTCTATCAAAACCTGACAAAAGTGATAAAACGCTCTCTGCTCTTTTCTCTTCAGGACATCCAGAAAGGCCCCAACTCTGTCATAGATGACAGCAACACCTTCAATGGCACTGATTTCATCTTCAGTATAGATGTCCCTGGCTTTGAACCTCCTGAGAGCATTTTTCAGACATGGAGCTGTTATGCCCTTCACAAGATCCGGTCTGTTCTTCTTCAGGGCTTCTATGTTCATCTTGCTCATGGGGTTGTGATCTGAGAAAATTGGGAATGAAATGATGAACAAAACAAGTCTTCAAATAAAATTCTCTGAAATACTAATTAACAGCTTATTTGGACATTCAATAGCACATGCTATCCACAGAAATGGGGAGAAAATTCATGGATTTCAATTTGAAAGTGTACTACTATACTTAATGTCAATATTTAGAGCGCATTCCGGACAAGTTGATCTGTGCACTTACAGATCAGCAGATCAATTTTGACCGCCCTACTTAAAAGCAATGCTGACTTATGTCCTCATGGTCTCGCTGCCTCCACTTGTGCCGTCCCTGCAGGGTCATAACAATTACACCTCGGAACCGAGATTTCATCTCTTTAATGGCTCATGTGTGTGACCATCATGGGATTAAGCGACTCACTTTTTATCGAGGTCAGCCATTTTTAGTCTGCATATCAGTTCGACTGCAATCATCTGTTCTGTGTGTGCTCTTAGATGAACTATTTTGCATAACTGGTTGCCTAACTTGTTACTAATGCACTCACCCTCAGCTGTTGAATACATCAGCTTATACTGTGCTAGTTGTGACAAGAAGTCTGACTTTATAATGAACTAACCCTCAGCTGTTGGATACACCAGCTTAGATTGTGCTACATGTGACAAGAAAAATCTCACCTAACACATTACACTT